TATGCACAGTATATAAGTGATTGTATAAAATGAAAATGAAAATGAAATAAAAGATATATACATGAACATAGTCCAACCAGCTGCTCAGGCAGGAGATCCTATACACAATTTCGGACAAACGATTGCCCAGTCTCTTCATTGGCCTGAAGCTTAGTAAGGCATCCATAGTCTTATTAGTAGTCAAGTGTCTTCACAACAGGCACACGAACAGAATTTACAAGCTTCCTAGCTGGCTTCTAACAACCAAAACAGTAAAGGTTTACAGGGAATTTACAGGGAATGTGTATTTCTTGTGGGGAAAATAGGTGGAGGAAGGAATAGTATGTACGCTTGCCACCTTATTTACAAAAAATAATAAAGATGGGCTTTTAAAAAAATCTTAAGTAAATTATTGGATTGTAATCTCTCGACATAATTTATGTCTGTGAACCGTTTGCTCAGAGGTTGCAAATCCTATCAGATCTTCAGTCCACTGACCCTTTGAGACCATATCTCTTTTCAGTACTGAAGGATGAAGGGGAAGACAGACACATGGTTAGCTGTCTTTCCCTACACCTGAAAATACATGGAATCACAGGGCTCCATCTACTTTTCACACACAAGGTTAAGGGATGTAACATCTGGTGGCCTCTTGAGGTGCATTTTCATCCTTAAGTGAAACAAGTTCTCATATTTCTAATACTTCTAAGCATGGAGAGCACTATCAAGTTGCCAAGAGTCAGACACAACTAAATGGTCAAATAACAATACTTCTAATAAAGGATGCAAAATGTGTTTTGAGTAATGCTGAATCTAGCTCAGCCTCTGAGATTATTTGTCAGTGAGTTTTAAAAAGCCATCTTATTTTTTAAAAGGGAAGATGCCACTAACAGAAATAAGTGTTGGGTTTCATCTTCTATGTGTGTATATTATATCCCATGTTTAAAGTAGCTTTTCTAGCACAAAGGGGAAAAAGCCCTTATATTTATTTAAGTCACAAGATCCAGTAATCCCTCCTTTTCTCCCCAATGGTTTTGTTTAATGAAAGCTCAATACACCTGATGCTTTCAGGATTTTCCTCTGACAAAAACCGCCCAGGAAAGACCAGATCTGGTTTTTTAGCGCAACAATGTAATCTCTAATTCTCAGGTGCAGAGGCTGGTGTCCTCTGTATGTTAGACTATAACCCATCGCATCACTGCAGATGGCGATGATCACTGTAATGACTATATTCAACCATCTGGTAGGTCAAGAAAAGGTAATGGAGATACTTTGAAAATGGGTGTGTCCAACAACCTTGGCAACTTTGTGGATTTCAACTTCCAGAATTCCCCAGCCGGCATGGTTGACTCTGGCTGGCTGTGAATTCTGGAAGTTGAAATCCACAAAGTTGCCAAGGTTGTTGGACACACCCATTTTCAAAGTATCTCCATTACCTTTTCTTGACCTACCAGATGGTTGAATATAGTCATTACAGTGATCATCGCCATCTGCAGTGATGCGATGGGTTATAGTCTAACATACAGAGGACACCAGCCTCTGCACCTGAGAATTAGAGATTACATTGTTGCGCTAAAACAACAGATCTGGTATTTCATGGGCGGTTTTTGTCAGAG